GCGCCCGCATGCGTCACACACCCAATTCGGCACACCCCTCACACGTTCGTGGCTCCATAGGGAGCTCCACCGAAGGCCCCAGTGCCCGCGCCCGCATGCGTCACCCACACCCATTTCGGCACACCCCTCACACGTTTCGTGGCTCCATAGGGAGCTCCACCGAAGGCCCCAGTGCCCGCGCCCGCATGCGTCACCCACACCCATTTCGGCACACCCCTCACACGTTTCGTGGCTCCATAGGGAGCTCCACCGAAGGCCCCAGTGCCCGCGCCCGCATGCGTCACCCACACCCATTTCGGCACACCCCTCACACGTTTCGTGGCTCCATAGGGAGCTCCACCGAAGGCCCCAGTGCCCGCGCCCGCATGCGTCACCCACACCCATTTCGGCACACCCCTCACACGTTTCGTGGCTCCATAGGGAGCTCCACCGAAGGCCCCAGTGCCCGCGCCCGCATGCGTCACCCACACCCATTTCGGCACACCCCTCACACGTTTCGTGTCACACTCCACCGAAGGCCCCTCCACCGAAGGCCCCAGTGCCCGCGCCCGCATGCGTCACCCACACCCATTTCGGCACACCCCTCACACGTTTCGTGGCTCCATAGGGAACTCCACCGAAGGCCCCAGTGCTGCCGCCCGCATGCGTCACCCACATCCAATTCGGCACACCCCTCACACGTTTCGTGGCCCCATAGGAGCTCCGCCGAAGGCCCCAGTGCTGCCGCCGCATGCGTCACCCACACACAATTCGGCACACCCCTCACACGTTTCGTGGCCCCATAGTAGAAGCTCCGCCGAAGGCCCCAGTGCTGCCGCCCGCATGCGTCACCCACACCCATTTCGGCACACCCCTCACACGTTTCGTGGCCCCATAGGGAGCTCCACCGAAGGCCCCAGTGCCCGCGCCCGCATGCGTCACCCACACCCATTTCGGCACACCCCTCACGCGTTCCGTGGCTCCATAGGGAGCTCCACCGAAGGCCCCAGTGCCCGCGCCCGCATGCGTCAGCCACGCCCATTTCGGCCCACCCCTCACACGCTTCGTGGCTCCATAGGGAGCTCCACCGAAGGCCCCAGTGCCCGCGCCCGCATGCGTCAGCCACACCCATTTCGGCACACCCCTCACACGTTTCGTGGCCCCATAGGGAGCTCCGCCGAAGGCCCCAGTGCCCGCGCCCGCATGCGTCAGCCACACCCATTTCGGCACGCCCCTCACGCGTTCCGTGGCCCCATAGGGAGCTCCGCCGAAGGTCCCAGTGGGTGTGCCCGCATGCGTCCCGCACACCCATTTCGGCACACCCCTCACACGTTTCGTGGCCCCATAGGGAGCTCCACCGAAGGCCCCAGTGGGTGTGCCCGCATGCGTCCCGCACACCCATTTCGGCACACCCCTCGTACGTTTCGTGGCCCCGTAGGGGGCTCCACCGAGAAAATATTCACAATTGCAGTATTCACAATTGCATATGGTTGGGTCCTTTGCCAGGATAATTTCTTGTTTTCGCTGATTTATCGTTGTAGAGATTGCTTGCGGGATCTGCGGGAGGAAGGGTTGCGCGGGGAGGGGGCGGGGAGGGGGGTTTGCCCCCGACCTGGGGCCGTCCGTCTGGACCTGACCACGGCCACAGGCGCCGCTCACATTCAGAAACTCAAAGGCAAGGTCCGCACTGCCGAGGGGGTTCCCCTCCCCCATGCAAGATGGGCGGAGGGTCGCCCCAGGCTGCCTTTCAGACGCGCTCGGAGGGTCCAGCATCCATAGTCATTCATACTGCAGAGGTCCAGAAGCGCAGCTGATTGTCACACGCGCGGCCTCCGAGCGTAGTGTCCTTGTCCTTGTCCTTGTCCTCCTCCTCCTCCCACGCCTCTTCAGCCAAGCCCCCCCCCGCCCTGGGGGGAGTCGAAGAAGAACAACAAGTACCTGCGCATAGAAACTTTCGGAGGTCCGCGCGGAATTCGTGGACCGTCGCTGGAGCCAGGTCCGGCCCGATCGATTGAAGTCGCGCCGTGTGCCGGGGCGCCAATCTGATCCAGCGCGAACCGGATCCCTTTCCAGCCCGCGGGGGCGGGCCCGATCCCGCGATCCAAACAGTCCGGTCCCGATCCGATTCCGCGGCAGCGAGTCGGTCGCGGTCCGATCCCTTTCTTTCTCCTCCTCCTCCTCCTGCTCTTCCTCCTCCTCCTTCTCCTCTTCCACTCCTTTTCCTCATAAGCAATTATTCCCTGTCGCACCCCGAGGAAGGTTTTAGGGCGGGCCGGGCGTTTCGCTTGAGACTCTTCCGTCATTTATGACCCAGAAGCTTCAAACATTGACAACAGCTTCACAGATGGAGGGCGGGTGGTTTTCAAATTGTGGCTTTCGCCTAAGCGCATTTGTGGTTCCCGCCTCTGCGCTGTGCACATTCGCTTTACATATTTGCAAGAGTTTCACGGATCCCCATGGTCACAGTACCAGAAATGATAATTTTGAAGGACTTTGGAATGTGAGGGTGCAACAATTACGTTCGCTCGCGGTGCTGAAGTCCGCAGAGTGGCTTTCTGGCGCGATGAAGGATCGTCAAAACGCAACAGTCCGGTTGATCCGTGGCGCTGGAATTCCGAGAATAATGCTTTGGCATGCTTCAAGGTCTTCAAACGGTTGTCTTCCAACGAGGCAGTTCTTTCATCAACCGTTGTAGGGGCCTGAGAAAGGGGAGCTTGGAAGGAGGGTTTCTTCCAACATCGTGGATGACTCGGGTTTGCACTGGTCCTCCTCCTCCTCCTCCTCCTCCTCCTCCTCCTCCTCCTCCTCCTCCTCCTCCTCCTCCTCCTCCTCCTCCTCCCCCCTCCTCCCCCTCCTCCTCCTCCTCCTCCTCCTCCTCCTCCTCCTCCTCTTCTGGTCCGAGCCGATTTCGCGCCTCTCGCCCCTCGAGCGGGCGTCCTGGAGGCGTGGAAGGCCCTCGCCGCCAGGACCCCCCTGGGTGCCCGCCGCGAGGTCTTGGCCAGAGCGCGCCGCAGCGCGAGGGGGCGGCTTGAGGGGGGCCCTCTTCCTCCTTTTCTTCGTCGTTCCTTCTTCTCCTTTTTCTCATTACTACGATTATTGTTTTCAGTATTATTATTATCAGTATTATATGTATTATTATGTGTATCTCTCTCTCTCTCGTTCTCTCTCTCTCTCTCTCTTTCTCTCTCGCTCTCTCTCTCTCTCTCTCCCTCTCTCACCTCCTCCTCTCGTTTTTTTGTTCTCTATATCCGTAAGGGCTTCGCCCCCTGCCGCCGGCCCCCTCTCTTGGAGAATGGGCCATGGAAGAGCTAAGTCATGAGGCCTTGGCGCTGTCGTGAAGCAGTATCGAAACTTCATGCGAAGCCGATTCGCAATCAGCAAAACCAACTGATCACAAGAGGGGTTACCACACCTGGCGATTGGTAAGACGTGTATGGTTTACGGGCTTGGTTACCACACCTTGCGATTAAAGGGCCGAGGGAGTTCTCGCAGTTTGGGTTACCACGCCTTGCGATGGATGTGCGTGAAGGGTGGCACCGAATTTCAGAAATGTGACACGCCCTGTAAAATCCCCTGTGTTTTTGGACCCTGACCCCGCGGATCTGCGTGAGGGGTGGCACCGAATTTCAGAAATGTGGCAAATCCCATGTGTTTTTGGACCCTGACCCCGCGGATCTGCGTGAGGGGTGGCACCGAATTTCAGAAATGTGGCAAATCCCATGTGTTTTTGGACCCTGACCCCGCGGATCTGCGTGAGGGGTGGCACCGAATTTCAGAAATGTGGCAAATCCCATGTGTTTTTGGACCCTGACCCCGCGGATCTGCGTGAGGGGTGGCACCGAATTTCAGAAATGTGGCAAATCCCATGTGTTTTTGGACCCTGACCCCGCTGCGTGAGGGGTGGTGCCGAATTTCAGAAATGTGGTAAATCCCTTGTGTGTTTTGGACCCTCACCTCGCGGATCTGCGTGAGGGGTGGCACCGAATTTCAGAAATGTGGCAAATCCCATGTGTTTTTGGACCCTGACCCCGCGGATCTGCGTGAAGGGGTGGCACCGAATTTCAGAAATGTGGCAAATCCCATGTGTTTTTGGACCCTGACCCCGCGGATCTGCGTGAGGGGTGTCGATTTCGAGCCCCCCCTGCAATTCAGACAACGCGCCCAGGGGACGCCAAAAAGCCACTTTGGGCCTCCCCCCCCTCGCGCGGTCAATCAACTAGTTACAGTAACCAGCAATAAGTCAAGTAGTTACAGTAACCAGCAAGAAGCAGGCTTGTAACACTGGAAACTACAACCTACGACTGGTACAGGAAACTGCGAATCACGGGCCTACAGCCTGGTGGCCCCACAAGGGGGCCGGCGGATGTCTATGTATCTTTATTTCTGTATCTTTGTTGCTCTCTCTCTCTCTCTCTCTCTATCTCCTCCTCATCATCCTCCTCCCTCAGTCCCCCTCCATTTCCTCTTCCTCAACCCACCCTTCCTTCGAGACTTGTTGCATGTTCCCCCCTCCAAGATCGGCTGCGTTTCCCCTCCCCCCCGGGCGCGATCGGCTGCGCGTCTGCCACCCGTCCGCCCCACCCCCCAGTCCAAGGAAGAGGGGTGCCCAGAGGTCCGACGCATTGACAAAGATCAAGGTGGAGGTGTTTCACGATGTTCTGCCTCTGGGGGGCCCTCGCTGGGGCCTGGGTACAGTCGGGCCGCTGAAGAAGGAGCCCTTTTCGTTTGGGAGGGGCTCCGTGTTCCTTAGTTGTTTTACAATGCTCCTTGGGTTTTCCTTAGGTTTTCCATGGAAAATCGGAGTTTAACTTATGGGAAAAAGGAGCCTCGTTCCTTATTCATCATTCCTTAGGTCAACGCCCCGACTGCACCGTCAAAAAGTACTCAGGAGAAAGCCGGTCCTGGGGAATGTGGGTCGAGACTTCCAGGGACCCCGTATGGAAAAAAACACGACATCGGATCTCTGGGTGAGTGCGAGGCGGGGGATGAGTCTCGGGGTCCTTTGCCAGGGGGCGTCGCAGGCGACGGCGATCCGGATATTCCCGCACGACGTCGGAGTGAGCCACGACGACTTGGTCCAGAACGTCTGCTGGTTGGCGCGCATTTTTATCATCACCGGGGTTTTGCTGAACGCGTTCGAGGCGAGCAGGAGGAAAAGAGGGGACGAGGGGGAGCTTGATGAGAGGATGGAGTCGTAGGAGTATCAAAGACGTCTAACGGCGAGTCACCGCCGCCTCCTGCCTTTGGAATCACCCATGCGGCCAAACATTCGGCCGAAGTCTGGCCAAGTTGTATGTGTTCCCCCAGCCGTTGTGGAACCCTTTGGGGGAACACTTTGGGAGAGGAAGAGGGAGTTTTCTGGCCTCTTGGGGGCCTCTTGGCGCCATCTTGGAGCGTCGGGAGCCCGACTCAGCGAAAACGTTAAAATCATTGGAACACTCGGGAAAGATTTGGAGGCCTCTCGGTGAACTCTTAGAGGCAGTTTTGTTTTGTTTCGGGTGCGTCTTGGGGCCTGATTTGGGGCTTCTGGAGCTCATCGGGGGCTTCTTGTGGGTCTGTTGGCGGTCATGCAGGTCGTTTTGGGGCGGAGGGGTCAAAATGTCGATTCGTTGTGTTTCCCCTTTCTGGGGCCCCTCTTGGACCTGCGTGCGGGCCCCCTTGGAGGCCTCTTGTTCAGTCTTGGGGCGGTCTTTGGGGCCCCTTGGAGCGTCGCAAGCTCGAAAAGGCGAGAACGCTAAAATGTGTCAAAACCTTTTTGAGAATCATTGAATTCGGCGTTTCGGGGCCCTCCAGGAGACTTCCTGGAACCCTCATAGGGGCTGGGCGTTTCTTGGACTGTCTGGAAGGCATAGTGAGCAGTCTTGCGACCTTCTGGGGCCGTCTCGGGGCGATCTTGTACCGTTTGGGGCGCTTTTCTGGGAACCTTCCGGGTTCTTCGGGTCGTTTTGGGCGGGATCACCTTTCCGAAGGCCCACGCGACAGATCCCGGAAATGCCCAGGATTTCGGGAATCTCGCGCGGCCTTCAAGGAACTTACAAAGCCCTCACCGAGCTACCAGAGCTGCAGGAGCCTTGGGGCATTCCACTACGAACTGAAGGTACGGTGGCGGATAGCGGGGAGGAGAAATGAAGCGACTAGGTTTAAGAAGGAGGACAAGGGGGGAGGATGAAGACGATGAGGAGGAGGAGGAGGAGGAGGAGCAGGAAACTCCGTAGCAGTTTTGGCTCATGGTCTGTAGCCTTGCTCAGAGGACCGAGTTTTCGACGCTGGGGAGAAACGGCCCCAACCACTTTCATACTGTACTGGGCCCTGCGCACATCTTTTCTCACGGTCCACAGCGCAACGGCAGAACAAGATATTGATTTTGGATGTTCGTGCGGTTGGCGGCAGTGAACCAGCTGGATGGGTGCAATCAACAACTGGCCAGAGAAGCTGCGAGCGGACTGGCATTGCAAATATTGCAAATACACGTGGGGGCCGCAGAAACGCAGTATCTCAATGTTTGTTGTACGTATACGCGTTGCAACAAGTTTATACAGGTGTGGCCTTCACAAGCGGATTGTGCTCGGCGGAAACAACGTGCTGGGTTTCCCGTCCGCCTCGTCAGCGAAAATATCCACCTGCCAGTCTCATTGCGGGAGCGTCGTATTCAGAGCAAGCGGATGGTGGAGATGGCGGCTGAGCCAGCCAAATTGCGGACGGAGGTTGTTCACGGACCAGCTTCCAAAAGAGACGACGATGAATACATGGATCTCGTTGGCGACGATGGAGTCGGTGCCGACATTGACTTGCAGCAGCAGCTCGATGAGGCTGAGGGGAAGCTCCAGAAATGCACGGCGACATTGGTGCAACAGCGTCCTGAAATGCGGTCGGTATGCGAAGGTTTGCTCAAGCAGCAGCAGGCGTTGTATGCAGAGCGGTGGGCCAGAAACTTCTCGGCTTGCAGATTGCTGACCAGATCGCCAAAGCAGACAAGAAGTTGGAAGGCAGAAAGCTTGATGTGCAGCGCATGCAGGAAAAGACTACTGAGGGGGAGGTGCAGGTGGCGGACCTCAGGCAGTGTCTCTTGGAGTTCGAGGAGCATGGCGTGGCTTGACATCGCGTATTTGTGGGCCGCTTGTGGGAAGCAGAGGCAGCGAGTCACAGGTGGGCACGCTTCCTGGCATGGGCTTCACGGTCGATGCGTTGGAGGAGTTGCTCAAGTATCATGACATTGTTGAGGGTGCATTCTAGAAGGTCAAGCAGGACCACGGCCTGACCAGCGTCTTGCATAGGCCTGCGGCGTCGAAAGTGCAAGCAAGGCGCTCGACGCGGCAGCAGCACAAGGGCCAGCAGCTGGCGCGGAAGATGTTGCGCTGGCGTCTCCAGGGAATCGGGTGTCTGTGCAAGACGCTGATTTTGTTGCGTTTCATACGCATTTTGGCAGAGTGGGCATGGATACGTCTGCCACGGAAGACGAAGCGGCACGGAGGCCAGCCAACGCACTATTCAAATGGCGAGAGGAGCAGCCTAGGCACTTGTTCAAGCCGTTGTTCAGTGTTTGATTTGGTCGCTGCTCTTTTGCATTGCTATCATGATGAACAGCGATGATTCCCCGTCGGCCCAATAATCAGGGCAATGGCATGGCATGGAGGAGGATCTTTCCAGTATTTCCAACGAGGGCTGGTCCATTTCCGGTCGCCTCGCCACGGCGGGCTCGCCAAGCCCCCCAGGCGGTGGCGAAGGCGCTGGTGTAGAGACAGCCTGGCGGCGCGCGTGGCCAGGCAGGCTTGGCAGCGTTCTCTGGTCTTGCAAACCCTTGGGCGATGCAGAGACAGCTCGGCGGCGCGCATGGTCAGGCGGGTCTGGCACGGTGCCTCTTAGTTCAGCTGGGAAGGGAGCTCGAGCCTGCGCGGCCAGTCTAGTGGTCCCAAGGCGGGTGGGCCTTCATCCTCGTCGGTGGCAGGCGTTGATGGCAACGGTGGCCCGGGTGCTTCCGGCGCTGCCTGCTGCGGCAGGATGGCGAGTCGAAGTGGAGACGGGGCCCCCGCGGCGTTGCCGTGAGCCCCCTAGCGCTTCATCCCGAGCGCGGTGGGCGAAAACCACGCGGTGGGGGAGCCGTGCCAGTGGCCGAGTCGCCCACGCCATCCAGCGATGACCTCGGCCAGGTCGCCTTCGACCGCGCCTGCGAGCTCGGGCCTGGCCGCGTTGACTCAGGCATTTTCGATCTGCCACGATCTGGCTCACGGCCGGGGCACGCTTCGAGGGCGCCCGCTGGTGCGCAGCAAGCAATGTGCAATCAGGCTTGTGCGGTTGACCCAAGAGTGTAGCCCAACAGTGATCTGCACGTGCGTGCGTTAAGATGGACGCCGGATGTTCGGGGCGAGCAGTTTCAAAATCCCACGTGCTGGCAAGGGCGGTGCGGGGCGTTTCTTTTTAATTGCCCGAGCTATCCTGGGCGTGGACAGCTGGCACGTGATATCGAGGGGATACTGGCGGCCGCTCAGCCCCCGTCTTCTTGTTGAGATTTGCGATCGCGCTCGGGATCGGGCGCGAGAGCGCGCTTGTGACGGGGGCGAGCGGTAGATCCTGGTGGCGAATCATTGGAGACAGCTGGACGATGAGCTCTGCATGTTTCCGGCGAAGAAAAAGGTGGCGATAGGTGGGCTCGCTGCAACTGCAGGAGATAAGTTTCTGGGCGCAGGCAACTTTCTCCCACTGTTCGGCCAGCAACCAGGCGTTCGCTTATGTGACAAAGCAAGGCAGCAGCAGCTTAATGCCTTAGGGCAGTAGCCCCGCGTCGGGCGCGTGAATGATTCTGAAGGCACGATGCAGCCGCCCGCCGGAGAGGAGACGGCCCTCGGGGTGACATGTTTTTTTGGGCGCGGTCTATTGTACTGAGGTGTTTTTTTCAACAGCAAAAAACCTGTGGTTACTTTGCATCGCAGCCGCTGGGCAAGGCGCCGGCAGTGCAGGAACGCCAAGGCCAGGTCGGTGATCGCGTAGCTGAGGTTCGAATGCAGGTGGCGGACCAGGGCCTTCATGCCACCTGGGGCGAGGCTGAAAAATCTGAATGTGGCGCCTCGCATGAAAGTGTAACGATTTTGGACGGGGGCGGGGCGAGGGGGTCATTGACTCCCCCCCACCCCTTGTCCTCCGCCTATCCATAGGGGGGACAGGGGCGGGGGGGACAAGGAGGGGGGGGGGTAATCCATCCCCCCCCCCTCCCCCTTGTCCAACACGGGCCCCCCAGGGAGGGGAGTGGGAGGGGGCATCGAGTTCCCCCTTTTTTCAGGGGGGACCACTCCTTGTCCCCACGTGTCCACGGGAACCCGGGGGGGGGAGGGGGCGGTGCGGAAATCTGACCGGGAACCCCCCCCCGTACCCCCCCCTCGGCCAGGAAAGAAAATGAAAGGGAATCGACATAGCTACAACGCTTCTTTCCTTCTTCGTTCCAGAATCTCCTTGGGACCGACGACGACGACGACGACGACGACGACGACGACGACGACGACGGCGTCTCACACACGCCGAAGGGTCGGCGCCACCCGTGCAGCGAGTCCGTGCGCGGCGCGGAGGCGAGGGCGATGCCCTCGGCGCCCGCGCCCACCCGGGAGGGTGCCTTCGGTGCAGTGGTTCGCCCGAGTGGCTCCAGGCGTCATCGCGAGCGCAGAGTGTCTGGGACGCCTCCGCTCTTGTGATTTTACCGCCGTCTCCGCCGTCGTGACCGTCAGCGTCACCGCCACCGCCGTCGCCGCCGTCGTCGCCGTCGTCGCCCTCGCCCGGGCTGTCGTTGCCGCTGGGGTCGGCGTCGCCGCCGCCGCCAGAGTCGCCGCCGCCGCAGTCTCCGCCACCATAACGCAGCAACGTGAGCAGACAGTGGCGAAGATGGTTCCGATGCGGAGTTCGCATTCGTGAGGTTTGGCAGCAAGGGCAACATGCTGCTTCAAACGGTAGCATCTCATGTTGCCCGATGCCATTTGAATAGCGCGCGAGTTTCCCATGCGCTCCGAAAATCATCTTTCGTTGTGCGGCAAGCCAAAAACGGCCACTAAGGTTCCCCAGGGTGGATTATCAAGCGCACGAGCGGTCTCCGTCGGCCAGGAGGCCCGCGAAGCAATCACAGCCCATTATGTTTGTCTGCAGAAAACAGGTGCTTGCTTACCTCTGGCCCCGACCGCTGCGCCGTCGCCTCGTCTTCGTCGTCGTCGCATTTGCAGTTGCCCTGCGCGCCGTCGCAGACGGCGCCTGTGTCGGGATCGTCGTCGACGTCGTAGTCCCTCCGTCGTCGTCGCCGCCCCTGTCGTGGTCGTCGCCGCCCGAATGCATGAGCGAAAACAGACGCAGTGGCCTCGGAGGCATCCTGGGGCGGGGCGGGGATGTGAGGGGGCCGTGATTATTGTAACAAGGGATGCGATTGCGACGCCGACGACGATCCCGACACCCGCGCCGTCTGCGACGGCGAGCAGTGCGGATGGCGGTGCGACAGGAACCACACGAGCAGTAACGATGATTACCAGGTGTTCAGCACGATGGCCTTGCAGTAGAAGCAACGATCGATAGAGTGATTCAGAGATGGAGGGAAAGGGAGATGTGAGAGGGGCAGAGACAGCGAGAGAGAGAGAGAGAGAGACAGAGAGAGAGAGAGAGAGAAAGAGTGATGTAAGGGAAGGGAGAGAGAGAGAGAGAGAGAGTGGTGTAAGGGAATGGGGAGGTAGAGAGAGAGAGAGAGAGAGAGAAAGAGAGAGAGAGAGAATAAAAAAACACGAGATTAGAGGGAATCCTGTGCCTCGCTGGCGACGTGGCCGACGCGCACATGACTGGCGCCAAGTTGCTGCTGTCCCTCGGCCACCTCTCGGTCGTTGCGCTAGCCTCCCAGGGGCTCTTCCCACTCCCCCTCTCCACCACGTCTTCATCCTATTCCGCCTTCTTCTTTTTATGCAAGGGATGAAAAGGCATGACCTGCATTGACTGCGCAGCACTGGGCGTTTGCCGAACAGTTATGCCACGTTCGGCTTCGGCTCCTTCCTTCGGCGCATTTGCGAATGGGACTCGTTTGCAAGGGAGATCTGCTCCGAGGGTGATTACAACGTCCGCTATCTGTCGCCTTGTCTGCTGTGTTCGGGCCGCACGGAGAGCTCTGGCTACGGCTGGATTCGCATAACAATCGCGGTCCGTTTCAACGCTTGTGCCGTCCATTTTCTCATCCCCCTCCAACCCCCCGTCCTGCCCATTCGTCCATCTCCGTCTTTCTGCTTCCAACCCTTTGACCACGATCGAAAAAGACAGCGGCACAAGCATGAAATTGCCCGAGGCCCGCACTGATCTTTTGGATCGGCGTCGGATCCCCCTGGCGGTGCCTTCGCTGGCGCCGCCCATGGCGTGCTATTCGCGCCAACCAGGGGGGTCAGGGTCGACGCAAGAAATCGACGCGGACGGCCGAACCTTTCTGTTCATGTAGACGTGTGCTGTCATGCCATGTGCTCTTCCTTTCCCTCGGCATCGCTCGGACGTGTGCATTTGTTTCTCGGCGACGGCCATCGAGCAGCATCCTGGACCATCGAGCAACAAAAGCACGCACGAAACCGAAACATGCACGGAAAATGGACGTCCGAGCGACGGCAAGTCTTAGACGTGTACTGTCATATCATGTGTTCTTCCTTTCCCTCGGTCACATTGCCCCCGGCGGCCGTCCAGTGCGATCTTCACTCAAGTCCACCTTTCTGGGTTTTACCGATTTTGACACCCTAGGTCTAACCCCCTTCTCTAAAGGGAGGAAAAACCACCCGGACCAGACAATTGGCGTTTACTAAACGGCTTTGGGCGGTTACTAAGAAGTCCTGCCCTGTTCGGTTCCTTCAGCGGGGGCGTTTAGTAAACGGCCTCGCTTATCCGGGTGGTTATTGTGGGGGGGAATTTTTGTGCCCTCTATTCTCGTCTCTCTCCATCTCTTGCGCTGTCAGAGTATGCCTGTACCCACTGCCGAGGGGTCGTGTTTCGCGAAAAGTCGGGGGAGCAGTGGGCATGGGCAGCTGCCCGCCCCAGCGGACCCGCTGCTACCCGCAGTCATCGCTCCTCGATGTGCCAGGCCTGGAGGCCGCCGGTTTGGCCCCGCAGGGGGGCGCGTGCAGGGTCACGGAGAATCTTTTCCCCATGCTCATGATGCTCCAACCTATTTTAGCCTGGATCACCAGGAAGAGTTTCGAGCGCCAGAACAAGTACCGAAACTCGAGGGTTTTCACGTATTGGGCCCCGGGAGACACTCGTCCGGCATTGGTTCGACATTCTTTCGACACTTTTTCCGGGTGCTCGAGATTATTTCGAGGGTTTGGGTCCTTAAGTACGATGGGAGCAGCATAAGTCCAGGGCCACGGAGGATCGTCTCCCCATGTGTGTCAGCCACGCGGCCAGGACTGTCGATGACACATTCGGCAGAGGGAAACAACTATTGGACGCTCTTCAGAAGGGGAAAAAAACACACAGACAAGATTAATCGTCGATTCCCCCGAAAATATAGGAAAATATGGGGGCCACGTGGGGGGCCACGTGGCATGAGTGGTCTTTGGGGGCCACGTGGCATGAGTGCTCGCTGATTATTTCCAAGGCCTGTGCGTGTCTCCTCCCCCTCGTTAAGACCCACGGCCTTCACGAATTGTTGCGCCTCCTTGTCTCAGGAGGGGAACAAACACACAGACACAATTAATCTTCGATCCCCCAGAAAATATGGGAAAATATTGGAAGTGGGGGGGAAGACAAAAACCCGGAAACTATAGGAACATATGGGGAATTTTGTTAGTTGTGTGTATTTATTTGTGTGTCCCAGGGCCCCTACATTGCTTCCAGTTCTGAAGTGCCCGAGGAGGATTGAGAACTTTGTTTCCAGGTCCGAGTTGCCCAACAAGGACAGAAGGGAGCCACAGAAGCCGCGCACCGCTCTCGAAGGTCCGAACGGAGCAGCGTACCATAATACAGGGCAACGCGCAACAAATAGTGAACGCGATGGATTCCCCCCCCCTCCACCTCCACCTCTCCTTCTTCCTTCTCTCTGCACTGCAATGCCGTCGCCGTGCACACGCCCGCCCGCGAAGGCGGCCAAGAGTAGCCATTAGAGGTTGGCGTGCAAAGGATATCCGCCTCTAGACCAGTATATCAGGCCTATACCAAGTACCGTTCCCACGTTCTAGCCACAAACGTATACGCACACATTCGGCGCCGTTACATGTATAGACACAATCCAGGTGGAAGCGTTTAAAAACAATGCGGCCGTTGTTTCCGACCCAGCACAAGGTCGGAAGAAGGGTAGATATGTTGTCCGTATCTTCTTGTTCTAGACCAGGTCCCACGTGATATTCCAAATTAGAGGCTTGCTTTCCCTTTCAGTCTGGGTCAGGGGTTGCGGCCCGCAGGCCAGAGGGGATTAAGATCGAGGCAACGGGGAGGAAGAGTTCTTTCAGAACTAGACATCCGACGGCGCGATCTTGTTCGCAATGTGGCTTGCAGCAGGTCCGTGCCCCTTCCCAGGGACCTTTTTTCTTCATCGTGTGGCGTTCTTGACGTTCTCGAAGTTGCCAGACCATGCCCGTCGTTACTTTCTCACGACGCGGGGAGGTGAGGGTCGCCCTTCTCCCCCTCTCTTTCTTCTGCCCATCTCGAACGCAACCCTCGGGGGCAGCTTTAGGGGGACGGGCAAAGGGGGGATGCATCCACCTCGCATGGTTGATACATCGCCGACGCAGCGTTGATATCAGGGCGATGTATCGACGATGCGTGTACGATACATGGGGCGGGCTGCACCGACGATGCATCGACGACACTTGGGCCCTGTATCGACCATTCGGGGGCGATGCATCTCCCTCTACGCCTATCCCCCGTATCTCAGGCGATCGCAAACATGGATCAAGGGGGCGTGCATAAACGACGGGTCCCGTTTCCATCGCCAATCGCGGATCTCCGCCGCCGCACGAGGCCGCACCGGCCGCATCTCGGGGGGGGCACTTCCCCCCGTTCCATGGCTTTGGCGACCGCGCGCCAAACCCATGGGTCGCTAATCCATGTTTGCGCGCACCCGTGTGTCGCTGCCCCTCCTTCGGATGCAACTCCTGGGAGGTCAAATTCTGTTTTTGCCATGGTCCGACATCCGGCTTACTCCCGCTTAATCCGTCTTAATCCCGCTTAATCCGGCTTAATCCGAGGCCCGATCCGGCATAACAGGCCCTCAGTGGGGCTAAACCCTCTTGAACCTTTCCGACGACAACCTCCCAGTAGTTGCCTCCTAACGTGTGTCGCTGCCCCTCCCATCCCGGTCTCCGCGTTCTGCACGCTGCGGGGCAAGCCCCACGTCTTCGAGGTCTCGGCCCTCACGCTCACCGCCTGCGGTCACGAGTGCCTGCGGGCGGGCCTCATCCTCACGACGAGCTCGCGGTGGAAGGCATATCTGCTCGTGCTCGCGCGCGCTTGTGCTTGTTGTCCGTCTGTCGGGTGGCTGTTTTTCGGGGGCGGCCACGAGGGGGGTGATGACAAGGGCGGGGGGGATATCATGGCGGGGGCCATGGTATCTCCCCAGATTTCATGGCGCCTCTTCTTATTTCATTACGCCCCTGGCCCCCCCCCCCCGGGTCACGCACATGCCGCCAGCCTTGATTTGCGCCCCCCCCTCTTGGACGCCCCCCTCTTGGCCGCCCCCGACTGTCGGGTGACCGTTTTTGAGCGCATTACTGCGCCGAGCGGCGCGGGCCCCCGGCCCCCTTCCCCCTTCCCCGGCCCCCTTGGCTGCTTTGGGCGGCTGATTTTGACGACTGGTCAGGACCCCTCACCCCCAGTCTGCTTGCGCCATTGGTAAACGCCAATCGACTAAGCACCCGCCCAGACCCAGATCCCCCCCAACCCATTGTCGGCCAGCATTTGAAGCCCAGAGTGCAAAACTCCCACTTGCTTGTTCCCTGGGGGAAGGGATCTGGCTCATCCTCCCGTTGTCATTCCGTCTTCGATGCGCGTTTTTTTTTTTTTTTTTTCTCTTGCGATACAGTCGGCCCGGATTAGTAGGTCGACCCTGTCCAATCAAGGGATTTTTTGTGTCCTGTGTCTCGCGTCCCATGCCTCCTTACCTTGCTATGGCAATGTGGCCCTCGGAACCTCGGAAGGGTCTTGTGTCCTCTCGCGTGTCCTGTCCAATCAAGTCCGACTGTACCGCCCGTTCGACGTCCATTTCCGTGTCGGTCGAGTCGAGAGCGAGAGCTAGAGGCAGGAGGGGGGCGTCCCCCGCAGCTCTGTTTTGAGTTAAGAGCTACCAGGTCTCCGGGCTCTGCCAAGCGTGCGCACCATGTTTTCGAATAGTGATTTTTGTCCAGCGCAATGTCTTGGGAGGAGAAGGAGGAAAGCTGAGGGGACGAAGAGCGGCAGCGGAAAAAACATGTTGTCGAATAGTGTTCTTGGGACGTACTCAAAAGCAGCGAGGCCCACGACATTGCGTTCGAGGTCGTCGAGCGCCCATTCATTGCCCTCATGATCATGTGCGGGCATACGATTCTTGGAATTGTCGGCCAGGCAGGGTCCGATGGGGTGCTGGCTGGTACGTGCGTGATCGCCAACACGTCTGTGGTGTTCAAGACCTACTCCGACATGCCATCCCTGATTGGGCTACCCGTACTCACATCCATGGCACAGTTGATTATAGGACTTGGGCTAAAGAGCATTACTGGTGCCTTGCTCAAGGAGCGGGAAGTCCTCAAGCGCGCCCGAGACGGCCTGCAGCAAAACTTGGAATCTCAGGACTCCATGTGGAAATCTGTATTCGACGCTACTTTTCTTTGCGATTCCACTGGTCGAATCAGTAGGGCATCCGCTCAGGCTGTGGATTTGTTCTTGTTCGAGTCTGCGGAGCCTCTGCTGGGGCAGACTCTCAGTAGTCTTGCGGCTCCCGACGAGAGAGACCGTTTGACAACGTTTTTGCAAGCCGTGATGGCGCCAGGACCGAGCCAGGCTTTGACAATCCAGTTGCTTGCGGCATTTCCCGCCACCTTGCCAGCCCAGCACCTGGGGTGGCGATCGACATGACGCTGCAACGCGTGGCACCTCCCGTGTCCAGGTGCTCGTGCGAGCCGTGACGTGTGACACGCTCTTCCGCGTCGTGGCAGAGGCCCTGCCAGGCAGCCCCTGGCAGCCTGCCGCGCCTCAGCGTGCCGGGGGGCACCGCGGCGGATGCAGGGCGCCTTCGTCCAGAACAACGGCTCCCGCATCGAGCTGCAGCTGAATGCGGCCCGAGTCGTGCAGGGCACCGGCGACACCTCTCTGGAGAATACGCTGGGCGGCCAACGTCAGGGGGGCATCGAGCCCCCGCCCCCCGAGGAGAGGGTCGGAAGAAGAGGGGGGGCCTGGGACCCTGACATTATCTCGCTGCGAAGAAATGCACGACGGATGACCATCTTCGGCCTCCTGGGGAGGGCCCTCTGCTGTGTTCCCCGGGACCGTCAGAACTTACCCAGGACGAACATGTTGGCCTCAGGAAGGAGTCTACGACGTTGGATGTCTTGGGAGGTTGAGGTCGGGAGTAGAGCAGCCGCCATTGGAGAAGCTACGTTTCGTTCCTCCCTGGGGTACCCAGCGCTGCACATTTCTCCAAGCATCCAGGCCTTCCAGTTGGGATCCGAGTAAATGGGGTCGGCGGATCGCGCCGAATCGCCCATGCATCGGCGATGCGGCTCGATGTGGAGCCTGGTGTTCTCCACGCCGGCGTCGCCGATGCATCGCCGACGTCGCCGATGCATCGGCGATGCATTGGCGATGCGGCGCGATCCTTCGACCCCATCTACTCGGACCCCGATCTAGCCTCCTTGGGCCTTCCTGGATGTCCTTTGGAAGCCTCTTGGGCCGTTCTAGAGGCCTCCTCGGGGCCTCTTGGGCTGTCTTGGGCCAACTTGGAGCCATTGGGCCGTCTTGGAGGCTTCTTGGGCGGACTTGGAAGCATCTTGGACCCTCTTGGGCCGTCTTGGAGGCCATTTTGGACCACCTTGGACGAACATGGAGGCCAACTTGGGCCATTTTGGCCGTCTTGGAGGCCATCGAGGCCGTCTTGGAAACGTCTTTGTGTGGAGCGCCGCGGCCTTCCCGGTGGCCGGCGCGCTGGGCCTCTGGGGACATTTTGGGAGCTTCTGGGGACACGCTGAGCGCCTCCTGTGAGCTTTATGGTGTCCTCTTGGAGGCATCGTGGGGGCCTCCTTGGGCCACTTGCAGGCGTTTGGGGGCTTCTTGGTGGCCTCTTTGGCTGTCTGCGTTCCTGGCCCGACTGACGCCGTCGGAATTCGTCTTGGGGGCCTCTCTGAACCGATTGGGGGCCCTCTTGGGGTGCTCCAGGGCCGTCTTGGAGGCCATCTCGGACTTCTTGGAGGCCTCTTGAGCTGGCTTGGGGCCGTCTCGGGGGCCTCTTGGGCCGTTCTGGGGCCATCTTCGAAGCCTCTTGGGCGATCTTGAGGCGATCTTTGGGGGCTCTTGGGCCGTCTTAGGCCGTCGGAAGAGCGAAAAGAAGCAAATACCCAAATCCTTCAACTATTTAAGGAGACGCATTGATTTGCGCCTCTGCGGGCCCTCTTCAAGGCCTCTTGGGCCGTCTTGGAGGCCTCTTGGTGGCCTCTGGGGCCGTGCTGGAGGCTTCTTCGGCGATGGAAGCATTTTGGACTCTCTTGGGCCGTCTTGGCTACCATCTTGGACCATATTGGGCGACCTTGAGGGCCATCTTGGCCATCTTGGGTGCCATCTTGGAGCCATCTGGAGCAGGAACACCCTTTGCAACCATGTTTGGGCAAGCCTTCTGGGTGGCTGGCGCGCTGGGCCGAAGCCCCAGGGGAGCTTCTCCAAAGCACACAATATACACACACGCAAAAGACAATAACACAAGAAAGTCTAGCACGCCAGGCGCACCTTGTGATAGATCAACAGGGGGCGGCGGATCGAAGACGCCTACGGCGAATCACCGCCGCCCCCTGCCTCCTGGAAGCGCCTATGTGGCCGAGCGTTGCGGCCAGAGCTCGGCTAGGCTATCAGACTACGTGTTCCTCCAGCCGTGTGGAAACCATGAGGGATGAACGAGGAGGAGGAGGAGGAGGAGGAGGAGGAGGAGGAGGGGGAGGAGGAGGAGGAGGAGGAGGAGGAGGAGGCCTCTTGGGAGCCCTCGGGCCACTCTTGGGGATTCCTAGAGGGCCTCTTGGGGACCTATTGGAAGCCTCTTGGGGACCTCTTGGGGGCCTCTTGGGAGCCTCGTTGGTCCTCTGAGGGCGTTTTCTGGCCCGACTGACGCCCTCGGGAGCCGTTTTGAGGGCCTCTCTGGGCCGACTTGGGGCCCTCTTGGAGCGCTTCAGGGCCGCCTTGGAGGCCATCTCGGGCGTCTTGGAGGCCTCTGGGGACGTCTGGGAGCCTTCCTAGGGGGCTGTGCTGGAGGCTTCGGTTCGCTTTCCATTGTGGGGCCCCTCTTTGGCCCCTGCTTGGGGCCCTAGTGGACCTGATTATTGGCGGCCTCTTGGACCGTCTGGGGGCGCTCTTGGAGGCCTCTTGGCCGTCTTGGGGCGAGCTTTGACCTCTTTGGCCGTCCTC